GGGGGCGCAGCCACACTCGCGCCCCAGCGCCGGCCACCCGGCAAACCGCGGAAGCCGCCATCTTCTAGTCCAGTCGGCCCGGGACCGCGCCACGCATGCGTAGAGCGGACGCGCCGGCGCCCGAGGCGCAGGCGCAGTATCGCAGCCTTGGAGCTCGGCCGCCCCCTGGCGGAAGCCGGATATTCACTCGCGGCGGTTCGCCGGCGCCGTCCGCGGGTCCGCAGGCACCTGCCCGCGTCAGTTCGCCCGTCTGTCCGTCCGCGCGGGGCGGCGGCGGTCCAGTCCCTCTCCCCCTTTCACCCGTGGGAGGCAGAGCGCGGGTGTCTCTCACGACCCGCGGGCGCCCCTAACCCACTGCGTGCTCGGAGCGGGCTAAAGCACCAGCGTGGACTCCTGGGACTAAGAGGCAGTTGCTCAAAGTCAAGGTTTGCTTTCTCTTTGAAAGAATGAAGTGAGAATGAAAAATGCGGTTGATGTGGAAGGAAGCTGACCATGTATTGCTAAGAACAAAGGGGCAGTTGAGACGGATTTGTGAAAAGGGGTCCTGGTTCGGAAAGCGGAGCAGCTCGAGCCACCCAAGCAGCGCCCTCTGGCGGCCTCGGGCCCTGACGCGCCCTCGCGGGCAGCACCATTTGTCTTCTTCTACTTTATTTTTCAATTACAGTTGACATTCAATATTATTTTATATTAGTTTCAGGTGTAACTGGCAGCATTTTTTATTTTTAAATCNGGAAGGGGAAAAGGAAGGGAAGGGGAAAGGGAAGGGGAAAGGAAAGGGGGAAGGGAAGGAAAGGGGAAAGGGAAGGGGAAAGAGAAAGAAAGGGGAAAGGAAAGGGGAAAGGGAAGGAAAGGAGGCATCAATCGGTTGCCTCCCGCATGTGTCCCTGCAGCCTGGGTATGTGCCCTGATGGTGAATCGAACCCGGGACCTTTCGGCCTCCCAGATGATGCTCCAAGTAGCTGAGCCACACTGGCCAGGGCGGCTGGCAGCGTCTTGGAGTCCAGGTTCCTGCCAGCAGTTGGGTGAAGGTATGGGAGGGGAAGAGCTCTCCTTTCCCTCTGGTGCTTGGGCTGGTGGAATAGTCGAATCCACAGGAGGCAGGTTAACCAGAGAAAACCAAGTCCCACTCCCGCTGCCGAGGAACCCCAGAAACACGGCAGAGTCAGAGACCCCTCGCGCCCAAGAGGTTCAGAGACAGAAAGGGACAATGTTCTGAGCTAATACACCCGAGGCACATCTTGGGGTGGTTCATTTGAACCCCACAAAGGCAATTCTTTTTCTGTGATGCTCCTTGACATTCTTCCAGGCTTTGCTCGCTGCTCAATTCCAAAGCTATTTCCACATGTTTGAAACTTGTTGTAGCAGCACTTCACTCTTGATACTAACATCCGTGTGTTTTCTATTGCTGCCACAACAAATTGTCACAGATTTAATGGCTTAGAAGCACACAGATTTTTTTTATCTCACAGTTCAATAGGCCCAAAGTCCAACATGGATCTCACTGGGCTAAAATCAAGGCATCAGCAGGGCTGTCTTCCTCTCTGGAAGCTCTAGAGAAGAGTCTTTGGTCATTCAGGTTGTTGACAGAATTCAGATTCCACTGATTGTAGGACTGAGGTTCCAGTTTTCTTTTTCTTTTTTTAAAAATATATATTTATTGATTTCAGAGAGAGAAAGGGAGAGGGAGAAAGAGAGATAGAAACATCAATGATGAGAAGTCATTGATCAGCTGCCTCCTACACCCCCCACTGGGGATCGAGTTGCAACCCAGGCATGTGCCCTGACCTGGAATTGAAGCTCAATCTCCTGGATCATAGGTCAACGCTCAACTGCTGAGCCACGCCTGCTGGGCCCACCTGCAAAGTACTTTTTGCCAAATACTGTAATGTACTCTCCGACTCCACTGATATATTGAGGGGCCATTATTCTGCCTGCCAACCCCTCCCTAGGAGATATCAACTCCTGCCCCTCCCCAGGCTGCTCCCTCCTGCTCTCCAGAGCTTATTCTTTCTCCTTAAGTCCTGACCACCTTATAGTTCCTGGAACAGGTCAGGTTCCCTTCCCCCACCAAGCCCTTGTATGTGCTGCTTATCCTTCTGACTAGAACACTCTCCCTTTCCTCTCGTCAGGCCATTCATCCTTCAGGTCCCAGCAATCAGCCCACCCCTGCCCCACCCCCACTGGGCCAGCACACCTCTGCAGAGTAATTGCCTTATTGAGTCTGTTTCACCACCATCACCACCCTCCCCATTTGTGAGTGGGCGAGGGGGGAGCCAATAGTGCTCTGCACATCAGCAGATCCTGGTATCCACAATAGGGCGAGCAAACAGTAGGTGCTCATTAAACCTTGTAGAATATAGAAGTGGGCCTAAGAAAAGGCTGATGAAGCTCAACCTTCAATGCCCTTTACTTACTCCCTGGCCTTGTGAGGAGCCCCCAGTAGTGTGTCCAAGAATTTTTGGAAAACTTACAAAATTAAAATAGTCCAACTGCATCCATTTAGGAACTCTGTCTTTGCCACTCGGACTGCCCTCCATCCCACTTCCCCTTATGTAGGTCACACAGGAGAGGCTGTGATGTTTTTTGGGATTCTGGGAAACACTCTAAGAGGGAGATCAGGATGTTTTGGGGGGAGTCCTTATTTTATTTTTAAATCCTCACCCAAGGATATTTTTTCCATTGCTTTTTCAGAGAGTGGAGGGGGCGGGGGAGAGAAACATCGATGTGAGAGAGACACATTGATTGGTTGCCTCCCGCACTCGCCCCTACCGGGGCCAGAGATCGAGCCTGCAACAGAGGTATGTGCCCTTGGCTGGAATTGAACCTGGGACCCTTCAGTCTCTGGGCCAATGCTCTAACCACTGAGCCAAACCAGCTAGGGCAAGGGGGGAACCCTTTAAGTTGGGCATTGAGGGAGGGAGAAAACCAGCTGTGATGAGGCCCTTCGCAGCTGAGGCGGACCCATTGGCTGCTTCCTTCTTAGAGGCTGGCAGCAGCAGGCCTTCCTTGAAGGGGGACATGGGCAGCACATCTACCATAGGACACTTGGTTTGGGTTTAGAGGGACATATTTATGTGGTTTGCTCCACTCCTGTGTATCATTAGCTCATGATTAGCTGTGTATCATTAGTTCCTGTCCTGTAGGAATGGCCTCTAGGGACCTCCTGCTGGTCAGGACAGAAGTGCAACGTCCTATGGATGTAGAACCTGCCCCCAGTGCCCAGGGCTAGAAAAACTGTGGGCTATGGAGGGAAAACAAGGTTTGAAATGTGTGGAGCCAGAAGCTCATCTGTGGCAAATTCTTCCAAATCATACAGCATCTATTATGAAAGAAAGTTGCTGCAAGTTTCGCAAATTTGAAAACAACCCAGGCCATTTATGTGACACTGTCAATAACAAGTTAGGAGAGAAATAAGCTTTCTAAGCTATCAATAATTAAAACACAAATCTCAATCAACCATGTTAGAAGGAAGACTGAATTATCTTTCTATTCTCTGTATGGAAAATATTTTCCCCCCAAATCACAAAATCCTTATTCTATGTAGAAGCCACCAGAGGGAGCAGACAGAAAATGTAGGGAAAAAGTATCACAGAAATGTGTCGGGGAGACACTGCAAAATGTTGTTGTGGATTTTGCATTGTAGTATTTGCCAATATTTTAACATTTGTAATTTGTCATGTTTTCCTTTCTCACTATTTTAATTTACTTGTTTCTAGTTTTGAATTCATGTTATATATTTTTTCTAAAACAGAGATCCTAAAAATGCACAAGTTCAGTACCCACTGAACCTGGGTTGCCTAGGGCAGAAGGGAGGGATGAAGGGGGTGAGGGTCCCTTTGGGGAGGTTCAGCCCTCACTCCACTTACAGGGGCCTTGAAGCAAGGACCACACAGGCCCCAGAGCACATGCCGAGACACCAAAGGTGGAGGCAGCCAGGGCTCACTCTCCACCTCCCACCCCCAACTCAGGCCCTGAAGCTCATCCAGGAGCCCTGGCTCGTCACCTCTGGGTGTCCCTCCCTGGACCACCCAAGTCTGACCTCATGATGGTCACATCTCGTACCCCACTGGGGGGCCCCCTGAGGAGCTCCAGAATAGCAGTTGCATTTCTGGGTGAAGTCCTTAGGAAGGAGGAGTCAGTTGGAAGTGGGCAATGGAGCAGTGTGAGCCGCCTGGGCCCCGCCTGCCCACCCATCCTGGGCACTGAGGCCTCAACAGCTCTGCTGGTTCTATGAGTAGAAAGGGGGTACAGGGTCCAAGCCGGCCTGGGAGAACAGACACACAGTCCCAAGCCTGACCCAGAGCCTCAGGCCATCCCCACCCCAGTTGGCCACCAGTCAAAGAGAAGGCATATGCTGGGTCACCCACTCTGGGCGGGAGTCCCCTTTATTTGCCTTGGCTTCTGACAGGCTAGATGCTGCAGATGGCCCTGGATTTGGGCCAGGAGGGCATCCAGCATGTGCAGGACGGTGAGCAGTATGGCGTGGTCTGAGATTGGGGTCCGCCGTTTATAGGGTCCCGAGGTGTGAGTGGTCACCTGCGGAGGCTGAGGATAGGACCAAGAGGCAGGAGTGAGAGCGGAGGGGCGGATGGAAGTGTGATGAGGGGCAGCAGTGAGCTGGGGGAAGGGCCTGGGAAGTGGGGAAGCTGGAGTGGTCGTGGGGCCGCTAGGGCGGGGTGAGGAATAGGCATTAGAGGGAGACAGGAGGCAGGGTACCGGCCATGGGGTAGGGTCAGGGGCCACTGGGGGTGGACGTAGGGATGTAGGGAGTGCCGGCTGTGAGTGGGGGGGGGCAGCAGGAGCCCACAGATGTGGGTAGGATGGGTGGGCT